ATGACAGATCTTAAACTTATAGTCATTAACAAGAGTACGTCTATAGTAGTTAACTACATTTAAATTATGATGATAATTTCTTAGTTCCAGTATCTAAGGAATGAAATCAGTTGCAGCAATTAATTGATATAATAAACTAATAAGATGTATCTTCATTTGGTTAACAATTATGTGTTTCTACCACGTATTTTTATATAAAATAAGTTGCATATGAAATATGTCTTAAGCGGGAAATCAACTTTCTCACAAACGAAACCAATGGAAAGATTTAGATACAAAATATAACTAAATGATTTTAATCATTTCTTTATAGACTTCATTAATTTTTTTGTTTTGTATTCATTTTTAATTGTTTTTAAATGATTGTTTGCCTTTGTAAATATGCATAAAAAATATAATATACTGACAAGATTTCTGTGTGTCTCCAGTTCCGCACACCACACCACTCACCACTCACCGCACTCCGCACACAGTCGTAGTCACGTTCACATTTTTATAACTCCAAATTTGTCAGGTTCGTAGTTTTTAGTGTAACTTTTCTTGTTTTCTCTGTGATTTCTGTGGTTTCTATGCTTGCCGTATATTCGTTATGTGCCAAAAGTATCTATCACGTTCAAAAGAGCGAGCATAGACACACAATACGAAGCGATCTAAAGCAATTCCCGTTAAAAGTGCTTACAAAATAAAACGTGGTTAACCCATATTCGACAATTCTCGACGATATGCAGATACAAATTTGTATCTAGGTATGTACTTTGCGCTAACGGCCTGCATGGGTTGTGGCTAGTCTGAAGACATTGTCGAAAGTATCAGAAAGGAACCTGAGCATTTCTGTTTGAGCACCAAACCAAAACTTTATTCATGTATCTCACATGAACAGCAGTTAGTAGGTTTGTCTGCTCATAACTGTAGTTTGCTGACAATGACATTTGAATTATTATTTTTAAATTATTTTCGTTAGTTTCTTTGAAAAAGATACATCGTGAATAGATTTAACTACACTTCGCGTATTGGACTAATTGTTCGAAATAAAATTCAAGGTGGTTTCACTAAAAGCTAATGGAATTGAAAAGCATTTACGTTGTTCAAAGATAAATTCATAATGGATTGTTACTTAATTTTGGGCTTTTTATGGACCCTGAAACATTTTTGATTTATTGAACAATACTTTTTAAAAATTATTTGATAACATTTTTCTATTAAACCAATTTTTAAGATACTCTACCATGCTCTGACTGGACAAATTTCTTTCGATTCGGAAAGAAAATGAAATGATTTTAAGATTACAAATCGTTCACTCTGCATTAACCTTTCGCTGCTATGAAGTGCTTGGCAAAATTGAGTCAGATTGTTATCATCATTAATTTTGTGAATCACCGCAAATGTTATCTGCTCTTAGTTGCCATTCTTCTCTTGCACTTACTTTCAGAAAACACATTACAGGGTATTCAACACACCTGAGTTGAGATTTGTTTTTATTGCATTGCATACATGACGCTGGTTTTCAAGTTTATCCGAAAGGTGTCTAGAATTTGATTACCTCATCAAGAATGTTTCATATCTTCGTTAAAGTAAACACATGTATATACTCAGTATCTGACTAATAGACTTGATTTCCTCACTAAAACGGTGTTCGTTATTCTTGTTTTCTGTTTTGGTTTTGAACTTAAAGATAAGTTCATTTTTTCTGCTAAATATAATTTTTATTTGAATCTGAATCATATTATAATCGACAACATATTTTAAGTACTAACTAGTGTCGATATAATCAAAAGCATGGTTTTATAAAAATCTGCACAAATGAATAAAACTTTATTAATATACAATATAAATAATGATATATAAAAATATAGTATTTTTTATTAGAAGCTATAACGTCATTCCTGAAGAATGTGCCCTAAGCTCATCCATACACATTAAACCTATTGTCATACATTGTAATATCTTTTGAATCAAGTTCTAAGATCTCATTCGTTTTAATTACATTCAAATGGTAGTGGTACTAGACTGTTTTCCTGGCAATCACAGTCAGATCAAATGTGTGAACGTTTCAGTCTACATTTCACAGAATCTACAGGTGTTAAGAACCTTTTCATACCATATAAGAAATGTGGTAGATAAGAGGATATATATATGTATATATGGAACATTATCTAATTTGGAACGTTAAACATGTCGTGTTAAAATTCAGTAATCATCATTTAAAGTCTTTGAATCAAAGCTGAGATTGACTTTGGGTGACAAAAATAAGAATGAATATAGATACTACACTAAGTAAAAGTCGTACAGAATAATATTTGTTTAGTGTAATTTTTTCGAGCGGTATACCCAACGACTACTATTTTGATTTAATTTGCTTACAAAAGTGATTAGATACGAAAGCCCTTTCTGTACTGCGGTCACTGGTAAATCTATTGCGACTTGTAAATATTACAGCTTTATTATGGACCAGTTTCTCGAGTTGAAATTTGTTTATTGGTCGATTCTGCTCTTTCTTTGTTTCCAATCACTAATTGACAAACAACGACTTGGTAAGAATCTTTAGTTCTTGAATAAAACTTGAATATTATAATAAAAATAATATTATGTGCAATAAAAAGAAGAGCATATATCAACCTGGAAAAATAATACATCAACGCAATTATTACTACATTATAAGATTGATAGAAGTCGATTAATACATAGTGATATGTAATAAAGAACTCTAAATTAGTTGAAAGAGCACTCAATAGTTTCATAGCCCATGTTTCATAGATGTTAGAATGTATCTTAAGGAAATAAAGAAAAAATAGTGCAATAGCCATCATTAGTATGGTTATCAATAAACACTGAAATTCAAAATAATGATATGGTTGTTAGGGTTAGGCAAACATGTTATAAATTTATAATCAGTTATACGATAATTTCAAACTTTCATTTACAAAAGTAAAACTAAACACTGCAATCAGTCTGTGATGTTTGCATTGTAAATTAAGAAAATGCTGATTTAATCCAGGTCTTTGTAGTAATTATTGATTCTATGGACTGGTGTTAAATACGGCCTCTTATCTACTAATAGTCTATGGAAGATTGTCTGAATGACCAAAAATTTCATCGCGTTACACATGGTATTATTCAAATGAGTTGAATTGAGTGCACAATTCGCACACCCTCTTCAAAAGAGGCACAACTCTGCAAAATGTTTTGCAGCGTAGTATCATTCCTAACAAAAAAAAAGAGATATAACTGTTTTTTTTGACAATTTCCAATAATAAAAACAATGTGGAATTTTGCGTGTTGGTAGACTGGTAAAATATAAGCAAGTTCCATATATTAACTTAAAATTGACGAATTTTGAGTTGTACCTCTTTTGAAAATCTTGTGCGAGTTGTTCTAGCAATGATGGACTCAACGCACTGCCGCACTCGCGCAGACGCACAAAACTGCAAAATTAAAAAATTCTTTATTCGTATATAATAATATATATATATATATATATATATATATATATATATATATATATATATATATTTGCACTTTTCTGACTCCACACACGGTAAGAAGGATCTTCCAAGAGTTTTTAGAACTGCGGGGTCTACGTACTAGAATCACTCCTTAAGTTCGACGACCAAGTGCCGTTGATCACTCTTATAAGGGACAACACAAGCAGTTCCTTGCGGGCTACAGCAAAAACAACAAGGACGATCTTATTTCGTTGAATAATTTTCCTTTATAGTAGATTTCAATTGCTAGCAAGTAAAAATCTCATACTAAGATTAAAGTCTTTCTACAGTATGTGACTATTATTTTAAATATTATATTATTTAAATATAAGTTCCAAAATTCAAATAAGCTACGAATTTAATTCAAATTTATAAACATTTAATTGCTTTGCCATAAACAATTGTGAAAATCCATAACGACATTAACCGGAATGGAATGGTTTGATTGACATGTCGTCTGAACTCGAACTCGACTTGACGTACACAACACTTTCAAAACAGATTTCACAAATTCCAATGAGAATTCCAATTAGAATAAGAGCACCAAGTTAGCCAAACAAAGTTTTTGTTTCATAAATAAGAATTGGGAAGAAAATTCGGAAATCTATTGAAGTTAGGTAGGTGTAGGTAGGTTTGCGAAGCGCATTAAACGTTTAAGCTCATAAAGAGGCGCCCACTTTGTGCTTGCTTCGCCTTTGACTACACTTCGAGGATTTCCGAGGTGTAGCAAAGTGAACTGTGTCGTCTTCCTTTCCACTGCGTGAACGCCAAAATTTAATGTTAATTTTGTTTGTTCCTGTTGTAAAAGTTGGTAAACATTAAAAAAAACAAAAAACGCAGTTTGTTTGCACATAAAACACACTCACTATTCACTGTTTGCTCAACAGTGTTTTTTTTTTATTTTCCACGATTGTGGAAGACGGTGTCTCTGATTTGTATTGAAAAGGCATACGAGAAAAGACAACGGCTGCGATTACTGTATATGAAATGGAAATCCGACTTTTTTATTTATTTCATTAAGCTTCTTTAATATTGTTAACTCGACTCGACAGTGAGAAGAAAAAACCAGATTATTCGAACTGAAATACAGTAAAGAGTTAAACCGGCAAAACTACTTATTTTTTCTTCAAGTAACAATCTGAACAATGTGAAATCCTTTTCTCTTTCCTTAATAAAAAGTAGCGGCGCAAAGCTGAACGCTAACCCAAATACGCATGTTAGCGGGGTTAAAGTGTAGAATGGCTACAAACCAGAGTTGTTTTGTGTGTTGTGTCTTTCGCATGTTTGAGTCTTAAAGTTTTAAAAACTTTTTACAAAAATCACTTCAGGCAGCGCAAATGGGTGACTCAGCTTACCACAGATAAAATGTGGTCATACACTTAAAATAAATGCCGCATGTGCCTTGCATATAATCAATTTTACTGCGATATTTGAATGGCAACATTTTGCCGGGTTCTTCACAGCCCACAATTCATACATAAAAACAATAACATATTTAATTCAGTGCATGTGTTTTACCTGATTTCAGCGTGTGATCGATCTAGTGTCCCTTGGATAGACGCCAGTTATTGGTGTTGTTGCTACTTCTGCCGTTGGCTATACGCTACGGTTTGCGTGGGATTTGAGCTTATTTATTTATGTTTGCCACTAATTTTGTGTATTTTGTTAATTATCGTAAGCAGTTAACGTTGTTGGTATTTATTGTATATTTTGGAAACGTTGTTCAAATCGAAGTGATATATGAAGATATTTGAAATTTGTTATTAATGCCAATTTTGGTTCTGCAATAAATTGCTGCCTTAGAACGATCGTGACACACTAAAAGCTCTGTACGTGCACAAAATTATATATTTATTTAATTGAAATTCCTTTACTGATACACTGTAGAATCTTCATAAACACAACCAACATTGCAAACGTTCAGACTCGCGTTGTCATGTAAACATTCACAACCCGCTTTCAACCGCAGCCAATATTATACGTCAACAGACACAGTGCGACTGACTGGCCGTTGAGTTCTTCTGCAAAACTTCTTTTTTGAATTTATGCTTTTGATTTTATCATTTCATTGTTTTGTGTTTCTCTTGTTGTTGTTGTTGTTGTTTGAGTTTTGTCAACTTGCGCTTTTCGTTTTCTTGTTTATATTTTCGGCGCACATTTCTTACTTTGAATTTTTTTTAAAATCCAGGGGTGTGCCATCGTTTTATTTTATTGCTCCTTTTCAGCTTCAAATTTTCGTATGATCATATGTCTTTGAAATTTATTTTTCAATTTGATAAGAAAATAATTTTTATATGGGTTAAGTAGATTTCGAATATAAATTAAGCAAATTTTCCTTTATCGACATTTTTGGCATAGTTTGATAAAGCAGATCAGAATATCGCTTTTTATTTTCGTTTTATTTCATCAATTGAAGTAGATAATATAAATGATTGATAATTATTCGGCATTATCCAAATTCACTCTTTTAATTTATTAAAATCGTATGCGAGTTCGAGTAAATTGAGGTAAATAAATTGAAATTTCGTAGGAATTTTTTTGCGCTGCACTTATGAAAATATTTATTTATTGCACTTATTTATTATTTTTGGTTAAAAGTATTCAAATATATTTAGTAACTTTTTAAACATTTTATAGAATTTGTACAATTGTAACACCAAATTTACCTAATTTTTATCTAACTAACCCTACTCGAAATTCTGATAAATACCAACACTCGCAGCCATACCGACATAATTTACTATTTTCCTCATTTTTCTATCAATTTACTCGGCCTAAGGAATAGCATATGTATTCTTTAATAAAGTAAGAAAAGAATATTATCAAAGAATCATTTAGTTAAACCTATTGATTCGTCTTTACGAATATAGATGTTGATTATATTAAGTCTGTTCCACGAGCTGTTCGTGGTGAAACTTGAGTAAAACACAAAAAAACTGCAAATTAAGAGCGTAACACAAATAAATTGCTAGTTTACCCTCATTACACAAATTTTCATGGAACAGCTTTGTGTAAAGTCTGGTGAGCACAGCTTTTTTTTTAAAACAAAACAGAAATAGAAATTGAAAAATAAGAGCGCGAAATAAATTTTAAAAAACATAGACAGTTTTATAATAATATATGCAAATATTTTTAAATACTTTTTATTTTAATAAAGTTAAAATTTTGTTGGCAGTTAAGAGTTAGAATTCATAAAATTTTATTTATGTTTTTATTACAAACATAAGAGAATGGAAAAATTGTTGTGCCATATTTACCAACAACTTTTCTGCAATTGCAAAACGGTAAAAAATTATATTTACACATTGTAAATTGTAATTATTTAATGCATTTTGTAATAGATGATGAATTTGTGAATGAAGAAGGCAATTTTATAACTGATGAATTAAAAAGGCCTCGCGAGATGCGGAAATGAATTTTAAATACTTTGTCATATTTCGAAGCAACATTTTTTATGTAATTTTTTACACGAGGTACTCGTAGTAACTTTGAGTAACACTGTGTATAAACAATTGCGTTACACCAGCAAATTTTCGAGTAAATGAGAACATCTGAGAGAGACTAAATCCCTGTCGAAATTTAAAAATGCTTTACTCGTACATTTTATTTCAAGTAAAATTTGTGTGATGTGTGAATCAACTGTTTTGGTTTTGAATTTAAATTTTTGTATTGTTTATTTGCGCGGCACTAATATTCTCACCAGATTTTATACCAAGCTGTTCCATGAAAATAAAATCTATGTAAAGAACGTAATTTGGCACTTTATTTGTGTTAAACAGGATATAGACGATGCTACATGTTTGCAGACAAGGTATGCGTGCTACCAAGTCGTATACCAAATTTCGGTCTGAGACATGTATGCGGTAAAATTAAAACTTTTTAATTATTTGTTAAATTTTTATATTTAAAAAATTATTTTGTGAATGAAATTATTAAAATGCAACATTTTAAAGAATTAAATTAAAAATAATTTTAGTTTTAAGAACTAAAATAAGAAATTATGTTTAATTCCAATTTCATTTAATTCTAATTAAAAATAATTTTAGTTTTAAGAATTAAAATAAGAAATGTACAAAAACAAAATTGCGCAAAGTTTCTTGCAAGTGCTTGTAATCTTTCTATATCTAAATCCATGTATATATGCTTGCAGCGAAACAAAAAAGGCAAAAACAGCAGTTTTGCTTTCTGTTGCTTCTCATGTGTTGTAATTCTGCAACAGATGTGCTCTGTTGATGTTTTGTAGATGTTACAAAATATTTCAACATAACATAACATAACAACATAATATCATCGATTAGTTAAGCCGACTAGAAATTTTCCGGTTAAAATTTAGGTAAATGCAAATAACCAACAGTTAACCCGTGATTAAAGCTAACTGATCGTGAAAAATAAGCTATTAATCTACAACAGTTTTAAGGGCCCATTAGACAGCAACGTTCGTTGTCAACGCGCGCTTGCCATTACACAAACAATTTTTTAAAAATTTTTTAAACACGCCCCAGATAAAACAACAAATATACTAAAAAATCGCTCTCACATGAGAATTTTTTTCTCCTACTTTTCTCCTACTTTGTGAAATGCGAAATTTGTTTGTGTAATAGTAACATTTGAAATTTTAAGAAATGTGTTGACGAAAATCAAAAAATTTTGATATTTCTTCAAACATGCTCGTGTTTTTGCATATACAGTCGGATTTGGTCGGCATGCAAAATTTTATTTATTTTGAGAAATGGAAGCGTAAACATCGCTTAAATGCACGCATGATTTGTCGTTAGCATGCGATGCTTTGCAAATATGAATGAATTTTATTTTAAATATTTGTATTTTCTACCTAGGTAAAATTTTTTAATTTCCAAAACATTTTATTAAGGAGAATTAAAATATTAATAACCTTGGGCTAAAAAAAAATAACCAAACATTAAATTACAATAAAAATTTTGTTTTAAATATTAATTGCATTGTGCACCTACGGAAAATTTGTTATTAAAAAATACCAAAAAAAAAAATTAAATTATATAAAATATAATATATATAAAAATAAATATATAAATTGAAATCATAAAAATAAATATAAATATATAAATTAAAATTATAAATTAAATGTCATCATTTTTCGTAAGGAAATTACGCATAGCAGCCGCTGTCGACACTTCAGCGATTGCTTTAATACTGATGAGTGCACAAATTTTGCATTGTTTGCTGGAGGCGTGTTTAAAAAATTGTTGGTAAATTTAATGTGTAATGGAGAGAGAAGACTTCGTGTGTTTGTCAACGCGCGTTGATGTCTAAAGGCCACTTTAGACATTCAAATAATATTAGTATGTTTGAACTGTGTACTTAACTAATATTCGGTTTTGTCTTAAAAATCATATTGAGTTTAATAATTTTTGCAATACAAAATCCATATAAAATCGTTGTAAAAATGTGCTAGAAGCTAATTAATAAAAGTAGTTCGTAACAGGCTACACCTAAGGTAGACAATTGTATTGTGTTTTGTGAAGTGGTGAATTAAAATTTTTTTCTTAAAAAGTATTTAAAAATAGTGCAGGTTTGTATTAATATTTATAAGAATTAATTATTCTTAAATTAAAGCTGGTAAGCTAAATATTGTATAAAATAATTATAAGATATTGATAGATTAATAAAATAAAAACTGAAATCACTCTTTTAAAATAATTTACAATTTTAAAATAGCTAATTAAATATATAATAAATATTAAAAAAAACTAAATATTATATAGATCAAAATGAAAATAAGACGTTACCATTCCCTGATTTTTGTTTTTGTATTTATTTACTAATAAAATATAATTTAGATTCGATATGTGTAATTTTAACAACGCCAAGAAAAATCAGATAATTGTCAGCAAAACTTCAGAGTTTCGCTAAACTACTAAACCTAAGTTGAATTTTACTTGCAAAATTTAAACAAACAATATATAGTAAAATCTTTATTTTATAAACAGCATATGTAATTGATATAAAAATTAAATAAAAATAATTTAATACATCAATTACATATATATTTTGTATGACATATTATTAAGTAAAGTTTATTAAAGCTTATAAAAGTTCTATCAGCTACATAAATGTACTCATTATAATATAAATATTTACTCATAAATATAAATAATCAAGTGCCTAAATGAGCCAGTGTGAATGCCTAAAACTTTAAAGTAATATTATGCATATATTAGTATGAGTACACAACAAATATTTTGTTTTTACATACAACCATGGGTCATGTTTTCGTCAGCTGTCACAGCTGATGAAGTTTTATTGCATGTGTCATTTGTTTTTGTTTTTGCGATTGGACAAATATTCCTTTGTCATTTTGCTTCTCATGAAATAGTTTAAGTTGTTTTAGCGAAGGTTCTGTTTTAGTAATTCTTTATTAGTGAATTAGCTGGATATTTATTTGTAATTAACTAAACTTGGTCACGGTAAGTAAAATGAAGTGTAGGTAACAACCTAATTGCAAAGTAAAGACATTTTTTTACCCCAATTTAATAAAATTTTCAAATGCTTATATGTGTATGCTGATGTTAATATGTTTGTTGGTTTTTTGCTCGCCTGACAACAACGCAATTCACAAGAGAAATATTCGATATTAAAATTTGTTTTTAAATCCATTTTAATAGTTTTACAAAATACAGAAGTGTATAATATTTGTACGGAATATTAAAATTTGAGATATGAATAATATTTATTCAAATATGCAAAAATTTGTTTTCTATATGTAAACAATAATATTAATAGTTAAAATTTAAAAAAATTATTTTTATGAATTATAAAATAAAATATTTTTAATAAAATTGTTACAGAGTGAAATAACATTTTTCTTCTCATGAAACCAAGAAACATTGCCTATTTTCTCTAACCACAAGGAAGCCATAAAGTTTCAATGACATTGAACTTTGCCATAGGAAGCAAGAATTTTTGTGGCATCCGCAAATTGCTGCAGAAAAATTATTTGCTTAAATAAAAAACAAATAAAAACTGGTATGCACAACTGGCATTCGAGCAGTTGCAATAATCTATCTGAAATTATTTCAAAATATGCATTAAAATGGGTGTTTTCTAACATCTAACGATGGTTTATTTACAATAATTTTTATAATCGCACACATGCGATAACAACGTTAAGATTAAAGTATTTTGGGTTTATTCAATTAAAGTGAATCATTCTATTTGAGTAATTATTTCTGTGCCGTTTCATATTTATTATCAACAATTCGTTTTATTTGTGTGCAATTTGAAATGAAGTTTAAACAATTTACATTAATTTTGTTTATTTTCAAGGAGGCACTGAACTGCGATTTAGAAAATGTCTCTTAATTTGAACAATGGGTCAAACCATCGTGATTACGGTGCTACCACGAGCAGCACTAGTGCCGTAATTGCAACTTTACCTGACGTTAATTTTTCCGGATTCAGTCCTACAGAATTTATGTCCCTTAGTGAGGATATTGCGCATAATATAAATGCTGTCAACTCCAGCTGGAAGCAGTTGGAGAAGATTCTTAAGGCGATTGGAACTCCACGCGATCAACAAAGTATGAGGGATAAAGTGCATAATATACATTTGAAGACAAACAGTCGCATCGAAGTAACAAGTAAGGATCTGGAACGGTTAACATCTATTGTTCGTCGCGGAGACAAGCAGCAGAAACTGCAGCTAGAGAAATTAACTAACGATTTTCGTTCTGTGGTTGAGAAATACTCTGCCGTGCAATATAGCCTGGTTGCAGCTATGAGACAGACGTATTCTCAAACACAATTATCGCAGATGCAAGACGATAGTGCACTTTCTGAGCAGGCTGAACTATTGCAACGACAAAGAGATGTGCAAGCTGGGCTTCAATTTGAACATGATATAATGGTAATTCGGGAGCGTGAAATTAAACGAATAGAGTCTGATATTTTGGATGTTAATGCCATAATGCTATCAATAAATAAAATTGCACAACAACAAGGCGAGCAAGTGGGTGAGTTAAATTTGTATATTTAAATTCAGTTTAATATTCTATTCTAAACACATATCTTTATGCTGTAGATCGTATTGAAACCAGTATTGAGAACGCTGCTACCGAAGTCGAACTTGGACGGGATGAGCTTATGAAGGCCTCAGAGCGACGTCAAAGTTATCGGCGTAAAATATTAATAATTTTAGTAATTGCTGTGATAATAGGTTTAATTGTAACTGGCATTATTGTTGGACAACTAAAGGGTTAAGTTATTTTATATTTTGCTAAAACGCTTAAGTGCTGTAAGGGCAAATTGTTTTTTACTCATAGTTATAGCATATACATACAAGAATACACGAAACCATTATCAAAAGACAAATATTTACAAACACATACCTTAACAGTTTTAAATAATTTCGCATTTTAAGTTTTAATAACATAATTTTATTAATTTATTACAATAATACACGTTGAAATTTTCATTTATAAAATGTATTAAAAACACACAACATATTAAACAAACGTATTGTTATTAAACAGCAATAAACCAAAATATAAATATATACTTTATATTAAACATTAAATTTAAAAAGTATTTGAAAAGTTAGAATCGTTTAATTGTTATATGAATTAAACAAATAAATTTAATCCTTAAAATTATGCATGGATTTTGAATTTATAATCTGCATTTGAAAAAATCTGAGAGCAGTTTCATCGTGAAGGCAGGCGATAGGCATATAGTAGAATAAATAGTTATTTCATTTGAGTTACCAGCGGAAATTTACATATTTATTAATTATAATATTTATTTATTAAATATGTTGTAGACTTTATATTTTTGTCTCTTAGTTGTGCATATTATATTAATATACTCCACAGCATAATTTATGAACAATTTTTTTCATTACAAGGTCCATGTTATGCAGACGATCATCGATTACCATATTTCTTGCTTTCATGCTTAAATTTTCTTAAACTATTTTTTGAAATGAAGCTATGTTGTTACTTTCAAAGAATATATGAATATAGTTTTAGAATTAATTTTTTAAATCAATTTCAATAGTTGATAAAAACTAGTGGAAAACTATATACAATATTTTCGAAAATATTTAGAAAAATATATTCAATATGGTTGGTTTAAGCGCCATATAGTATCGATTTAGTGCTACATTCTCATTACCATCTAACATATATTTTCCATATATTTTTGTTCATCAGTAATAGTAATTGATTGAAATTGTAACGAAACCAGATTTGAAGATGGTTGAAGCCTTAATATATCTTTCATATACATACATATAAAGAAGGGATTAAATTAGAATTTTAATTAAGTTGTGTAATTATCCCTAAACCTGTGTAATTTATTTTCGATAAATTGAATTGAAAATAATTTTAGATTTTAAATGGAGAAATTTGGCTTCTTCGTGATTTTTATTTAGCAAATTCCGCTAAATAAAATTCGTGTATTTAGCATAGTAATTAATAAAAAAGTCGTTTTAAAAAGTTTTAACTTGTTAATACGAACACAGTATGTGCATGTTTGTGTGCAAGTTATAGTGGTACAGTTTCACGTAATAATACAAATACACTAAACGGAAAAGTAAATTAAACATTAAAAGCAAAACATATTTTTTTTACAAAATTAATTAATTAATTAGGAGAGCCGCATTTAACTTAATATTGACAATGAGGACGGTGAAACCAATTTCAGTTTTGATTCCTCGTCATATGGCAGCAAAAGTTAATTCCAATGTTCGGGTTTAACATTAATAAATACGTATGTTTTTTGAGGTAATAATTTCCGAAGTTGTTATAATTTGACACTCCCTACATACTGTTTAAAACACATTTTGGACCTTTTAGCAATTTAGCAAGCGTTTACTACATGTTCTGCAATAAATCTAATATTTTATAAAATGTACTAGAAGTTACTGTAAGTGCAGAAACAGTATTAAATTGTCTATTATGTGGTTTAATATTATTTTAATTAAAATCAATGGCCCCTATATTTTGCAAAATGTTTCTTTTGGTAATATATTGAATTTGAATTTTGATACTGCACTCGCCCTGTGAAATGAAGTTGTTATTTACGAAGCAGGCAGCACTTTTAAATGTCAAGACAATTTTGACGTTTATCATTTGACATAGGGGTCCAGGTGCTTTATTTCGAAGAAGTTTTGGTAAATAAATTGGTAAATAAGTTGGTTTAAAAATTATAAATTTGTTATTGAAAATGGCACAAGGAAAGTTTAAAAAAGGAAAAGCCCCAACAACTATACAGAAAAAGCAGAAACAAAAAAATGCATCTGCATTCACAAGAAGATCTAGTAAGTAGAAAATACGCAATAAGGATATTTAAAATATAATAATAATAATGTTATATTTCAGATGCGCCAATTCAAGCAAAAAAATCAAAATATACAGAAAATCAAAAGATAAAACAAGTTATTTCAAAAAATGTCAACAAGTCTGTTGAAAGTGAATTACGTGCTCGTGCTAATGAAGGTCACATAAATTTGAGTAAAGCGCAGGAGGCTGTGGCGAAATTCAATAAATCAAAGACCACGGAACCATCGACTAGTAATAAGTAGACTTAATGTGAATATTTTGGCTGATATTGTGTTTTTAAAAGCAATGAATTTCCAATACTATGTACGTTTTCTTTTAAAGAATCCATAGCATAATTTGAAATATAAGCACCTACCATATAGTGATTGTGTTGTTAATGTCAACAGAATTTTAATTCTCTTTAATTAATTTGTTTTAATTAAATTTTTTTAAAGTATAGAGTTTAATTTAAGTTTAGTTTAAGGATACTATATTATATATTAAAAGCTTGAGGTATTGGTCAATCCATATTTAGCCAGTATAGTTAAAATACACGTAAGCTAACTTATAACAAGGACAACACACAAGCAGGTTAACTTGTTAATTGGTTAAAATTTGCAGTGATAAATTTTTATGTGATAGTTATTATTTTAAATTGCCTGGCTATATGTAGAAATCTGTATTGTTTTGCTTGGTATTCAGTTTTCTTTAATCATGTAACGAGAAATTCTTGTACATTCTGTGGAATATGGGGTTAGACACCAACAGGCATTTGTCATTGACCTACTTATTAACATTAACGGCAAAGTGCCGCCTAACCCTATCTTTATAGAATACGTTTGTCCTAACTTATCAGACATAAGTCCAGGTAAGTCCAGCAGATAGGTCCACATATTCATATGCAGCCGGTTCTCATTTATTGCAATGATCAAGTTCCACTTATCACTATCAGTAACTTTACTTTATTTCTTTAGCTTTATCTTGCTATATATGTATGTTTATTTAGTTTTCAAATGATTGGGTGGAAACTATCATATAAAATACAATACAATTAGAGTAAATTAGTTACTTAACATAGATTTGATGCAGAATTGGTTTTTTAATATTTCGTGTTTGTTTTCGTATTTTAGGCTCTACTTGGTTATTGACATAATTCCTACTATATAAAGTAATATGCCTACGTTCACTAAAAATCCTTTAATAAGTTTGTATATTCAGGATGAATGCATAATAAACTAAAGGATTTTATTCAGAGCAGGATATAGTATCAGAATATAGGATATAGTATATAGTATCAGGATATAGTATAATATAGACTTTAGGTAACTGGAATAATACATTATGGATGGGTATAGATTTTATATTATTTACCAAATAAACTTTACCAAATCCACATAACATGATAAAGTTGGTAGTACATTTATGGTGAATTCACTCAAGATTTGATTACAATATTTTCTTTCCATTAAGAAATATGTTCATACCATATTTATAATTGCGTCAATAAGACCTTCTTCTTTTCCAGAGCAGCAAATAAGCTCATAGAATAAAACATTGAAATTATACTTTAATAAATCAGTTTCGTTTAGAAGTTTGAAAAGTTTCGCCAGTAAAACGGAGTTTGCATTACTTAACTTTCCTTATCAATTTCTTTGAGGCCTCAGGTATTGTACGCCCATACACTGGAACAAAAGTTTGTCTGCCTTTATCAGCTTCAGCGGAAAGCGGTAAAGTTGTTTGAATGCATATTGAAGAAAAATGCGGGCATTTAGATATTCGCACTGCAAGTAACTGCCTTCAATTTGGAGCACAGTTAACTTCAGTGACATCATACAATAAACAACTTTTTTAATGCTTTAAAGGAGTGAAGTCTCCTGTGTCGAAGGATGTTTGAGTTCAATACAAATAAATTCATGAGTGGTCCTCACAATTGCGGTTAAGTGTTGTTTTCAGTTATTTTCATCGATATTTTAATTCTGCTTACATTCGTGAGATATTTTGGTAAAGTTGTGAAAATTGTTCGTAACAAACTTCTTCCTTCTGCGAATTGCACTCTACCCATTCAGATGGCTGCCAAAAGTTGTCCCAATCTCTTCAGGCTAAAATGTGCGATTATTAAATGAGTTGCCGGTAAAAGAAAACTTTTAAGATAAGTATTATAATATCGAAGTGCAAAATGTCCTTTGTTATAATATAAAAATAATATATAGAAAAAAACTTGAAAATATTAATAAAAAATATATTCAAGTTAACAATTTCAATAACAATTCTCTGAGATTTAAAAATTTCTACTTATCTATTTACATTTTTTTAAATTAAGGTTTTATTTCATTCTATAATAGTAATTTTCCTAATAGACATAGCTAAAAAATCGGTAAAATTTTAAACGTTTGAAAGCTTTTTTATAATTACTTCTTATATTTTATAAATTATTGATCTACACAATAATCACTACTACTGATTTCTTGAACCCCTTCTGGAGAATAGGAATAATTTCTGTATTATTTATACAAAGCGTGTTTGGTAATAAAACGCTTTGACTATGGATGTGATACTTTGGATCGATAAATGATAAAATTTGTATCGAGCGTAAATTTTCAACATGTAATGATATACAGGGTGCCGTAGGGGTTGTATATACAAAAAACCATTATTTTCAAAAAAAATCTTAAAACATTTTGAGAGAAATGGCATGCTTCTGCAAAAATGTTCGAATGTATTCTAAAAAATTAAGTTTGTACTATCATAACTTTCGAACAAAGAAGAGATCAGTTAAAAACTGAAGTTTATTTAATTGACTAATTGCTGGTGTAAGAATTAAGTTATTTTAAATCAATTGGTTTAAAGTTCTCATAAGACAACATTTCATCTAATTTTTATATTATGGGATTAAGATTGATGTGCAGTGAAAAGGATGACCAAGTTTACCTAATTCCTTATACTTCGATTATACTTGGTACTTAAGTTTAAGTGCCAAAGAGAAGGCGGCAGGAAAACCGTTAATATCAGCGACAGCTCACAGACTTCGAAAGAAAGCTTCTACTTACAAAACCAGTCGTTTGAATTCATCCATAATTGATAGTTCAACGTAAAACTGTAAGTAACGTAAATTCAGTCGGAAACAAAATAAATAATCCAAGGAATAATTATAATCACTAGGGAGCAAATAAACTGAGTTTTTAAATGCAAACTTTAGTCACGAAACATTGATAAAAAAAAAAAAAATTCGAAACGATTTCCATATGCCATAATAGTTGTAGAGTAAAAATAAAATAATTATTTATCATTAATAATAATTGACAAACTGACACCCAGTTAAATAAGGATATTTCAGTTATTTAAATGGACATAAGATGGAATAGGAAAGCAATATCCAGTATTTTTCTTTTCAAAAATTTATGCAAACTGCTTGGTAGTACGGTAACCCATAAATGATAGTTTGATTATAAAAAACTTAAAACTTGATCTCGTCCCGTGGCTGTAATAATCGTATATGCGCTCCCATTCTACAAAGGAAGAATTTTCCTATTATCGCAATGGCAGTGTCAATTAAAGCACGAATGGAATAAATTTTGTAAATGGGTTTAGATTATTACTCCAGAAGCTTAAGTGGTTATTCGGATTTCTTGGAAGAAATGGAAAGACACTAATTGAAAACGATTATGTACGTAACTTACTTTTGCTTTCTCTGTAATAGAGACTTAACATGAAATTTGTAAAATAATGTTTTGATATATAAAAGCTGGAGATATTCGCTAGTAAATAATGTAAGAGTCAAAGAGTGTGGGCCGCTATAATAGAAAAACAGAACAACGAAAGTATTGATGATATAGTAAAAGATGTCACAAAGCTATGTCAAGTGTGTGGTTTATAATCGTACATGTAAGAATATCTTTGCAAAAGTTGAAAATTCTAAAACACAAGATTATACTGCGGAGATCATCGTGCCAAAATAAAAAATGTGGGAAAATATAGCCACATTTCATAAAAAATAAATAGTTCTGCCGGAAAGACAAAGAAGGAATATTATGATATTTATTACTATGAGTATTGATTCTATTTGGTCTTAAAGAATAACTCTTCTTGGTACGCATCTATCTAAGAAAAGTAATTTTATCTCTGACTTATATTTAACTTATATTTTGGGTGCTGATCCGACTTTGTGACATTTTAAAGAAATAAATCTATATTAGAAATATGTAAATTAGATACTAAGTGTTATACTTTTTTTCCAGTGTAATATAGTGGAAGGTATATATGAAAAACTGGTTTATTGTATTGTATTGCTTATCTTATGATATCATCCATCATTGGTGTTTTGTGCAAATTATAATGTTTATGTTTTAATTTGGAGCCCAACATAAACTAATTCGCATCTATAAATTTGTTTTCCAACGCAGTGTGACGAAGCGGCTCTTTATCGTGTTAATCATTTAACTACGAAAAGTATAAAATGTAAATAAAATGTGTCAATCAGAGTGCAAATAATGGATAATGGATGAATTTGGAAATGTAATAACACAAAATTTGTTTAAAAATATTGAACAAATATGGAACACGAGTTCATTAGACTCGTCCACTTAGTCGTTGCGTCACTTCGAAACGAAATATTGTGACTACTATTTTAATCATACAGTTGATCTTTAAAATAGTCTTAGATTTATATACCCTTCACATACTGAGTATATTAAGTCTGTCTGTGAGTAGGTAAACCGTTCTCCTAGTTTTTGAAATAGTTTAGTAAAATTTTGCACATACTCGGAATGATCGAACTTTGAGACTATATCTATTATTTGCTATATGAACTGAGCAATCGGAACTTAGTTTTCAATAAGTTATTGAGGTCATTAGGTAAAACTTGGCTATTAGAAATGTAAGTATCAAAAAATGTTGTTAACATCAGATGAATTTATATATAGTGGCAATAGTATATAGCAAGCTGGCGGTTTAGACACTAAAATTTATTGCGAACTAATTTTTATTAAAACAGGATTTTTATAAATGCGACTAATACAATTGATTGTTATTAAAAATTTGTAAATAAGTAAAAATTTCGTTAAAATTACCATATAATATAAATATAATGTAAATAGGCTTGTGTAGTTCAGGAATGACTAGTAAAATAATGTAGTTCATTTGAAAGAATTAGCGAACTCGATTTCATTTTAGTAGATTGTAGTTTATACTTAAATTATTTTTTGTTAAAAAATAGAGTTAAGGTTAAGGTTAATAGTTAAGATCTAAAGTCTATAAGTTGTCAGTAAAACAACATACACATATTATTAAACATAAGGAATAAAGAGTCTCTGAACTAGTTTAATTTGATGTAAAGATCTAAAGTGCACACTAGAGTTGTTGATAAAACTTATATAGTTATATAGTTATA